AAAACTATCTCCCCAGCTCTCTTTAAGACTTTCAATATGAAAGGGTATTGGATTTTGTCAAGTCCTTTTTTTGTATCAAGGTGATCATGTAATTTCTGTCCTTGAGACCATTTATGTAATTTATCACACTTGTTGATTTATGTATATTGAACCATTGATGCATCTGTGAAATGAAGCCAACTTGATCATGGTGAATAATCGTTTGATATTTTCTTGAATTTGGTTGGCAAGTGTTTTGTTTGGAATTTTTGCATTTGTACTTCTCTGGGAGATTGCTCTATAATTTTCTTGTTGCATTTCTGGGTTTGATATCAGGGTAATTCTAGCCTTGTAAAATGTTTGGTAATGTTCTGTCCTTTTCTGCTGTATGGGTAGTTTGAGGAAAATTGGTGGTGATTTTTCTTTGGAGGGCTGACAAAATCCACCAGTGACTCTGGGCTTGGCATTTCTTTTTTAGCAGGGAGATTTTTAATTACTCCATCAGTCTCATTGCTTATTGTAGATCTATTTAACTTGACTATCTTATCGTGATTTCATTTATGTGGCCTTAATACATCTAGAAATTAGTTCTTTTAGACTTTCTGATTTATTGGAGTATATATTTGTAAGACTTAATGATTTTTTTGAATTTTGTCATTATCTTGATAGCTCCCCTTGTCATTTCTAATGTCTGTTTGGATCTCCCTCTTTTGGCTAGTTTGGCTGAGGGTTTATCTTGTTTATCTTGTCAAAGAACCATTTCTTTCATGTTGATTCTTTGTATTATTGTTTGTTTCTATTTCATTTCTTCTCTGATGTTAATGATTTCTCTACATCTACTGACTTGAGGTTTGGCTGATTTCTTCTTTTTCAGAGATTTTAGATATATTATTAAGTTATTTATTTGAGATTGCTCTCCTTTCTTACTATAGGCACTTAGAGCTATAAACTTCCCTCTTACATCTTATAGGTTTTGGTATGTTGTTTTCATTTTTCTCTAGAGATATTTTTTATTTCCTTCTTGATTTCTCCTTGTTCATGGTGTATTGTTTAAGCTCTATGAGTTTGTGTGTTTTCTGTAGTTTCTCCTTCTGTTGATTTATAGTTGCAGGCCTAGAGATCAGTTAGAATACAAGGATTGTTTTAGTTTTCTTATGTCTGTTAAGAGTTGCTTTGGAGGGCCTGGAGAAATCGGTCAGTGGTTGAAGACCACCTGTTCTTCCAGAGGACCTGGGTTTGGTTCCCAGAACCCACCACGATGGCCAATAACCAGCTGTAACTTTGTTTTTCAGAGGATCTCATGCCCTCTTCTGGCCTCCATGGATATTGCATAGATATGGTACACAGACATATGCAGGCAAAAACACATTAAAAAAAAATTAAACAGAAACACTTAAGAGGGTAGAGATGGCTCAGCAGTTAAGAGCACTAGCTGCTCTTTCAGAGGACCCGGGTTCAATTCCCAGCAGCCACATAGTGACTCACAACTACCTGTAGCTCTAGTTCTAGTTCTAGAATCTTACACTTTCTTTTGTCCTCCATGGGTAACAGACATACATGCAAGCAAAGCACCCATACACATAAAAAAAAAAAAAGACCTACATCAAGCCCCAATATATGATGTATTTTAGAGAAAGTTCCACGGGCTGCTGAGAAAAATGGGAATTATTATGCAGCATTTGGATAGACTGTTCTATAGATATCCAAGTTTGTTGATGAATTCAGACACTTGTCTCTTTGTCTTTTCTCTTCTTTTCTTTTTTTGGTCAGGATGGCCTGTCAATTAGTAGTTATCCACCACTGTTGTGCTGGGGCTAATCTGTGACTTTTCATCTAATAGCATTTGTTTCATGAAATTGGGTAGACCTGTGTTTGGGCATATACATTTAGAATTGTAATGTTCTTCTGATAGAGTGCTCTCTTATTCAGTACGAAGTGACCTTTATCTTTTCCCACTAGTTTTGGTTTGAAGCCTTTTTTGTCAGATATTAGATCTGTGACACTGTTTGTTTCCCAGGTCCATTTACATGGGTCCCTTTTCCATTCTTTGACCCTAAGATATTGTTTATCTTTTGTAGGAGGTGCATTTCTTAGAGGTCACAAGTAGGTGGTTCTTCCTTTTATTTGAGACTGGATTTTTGTCTTGGAACTTGCTCTGTAGACCGTGATGGCCTCAAACTCACAGAGATCTCCTGCTTCTGGCTCCAGAGTGCTGAGATTAAAGGCCTGAGCCATTATACCCAGCTTGGTTCCTCCCATTAAAAATTTTAAATTTATTAATTTTTTTGAGGATTTTATACAGGAGTACTATATTTGCATAATTTCATCTCTACCCTCTTTCTCTTCCACCACTTCCTGTGTCCTCCCTATTTCCTCTACTCCTTCTTAAATTTGTAACTTCTTTTATTACATATGTATGCTTGCACACACACACATGCAGGCATACGTGTGCATGTGCACACCCCCCACTCTGCTGAGTCTGTACACACACACACACACACACACACACACACACACACACACACACACACACTGCTGAGTCTGTTTAGTGTTTCTCATGTGTTTAGGGCTAACTACTCGGGATTGGATAACCTGTCATGGACTTTTCTGGTAGAAAGCAGCATGAGAGAAATACCTAATCACATACAAAGGCCTTGCATCCAGAGAAGAAAGAGCTGATCCTCCCTTTCTCAGCATTAATTGCCTGTAGCTCTTCATTTAGGGTGGTGCCTTGTGAGATTCCCTCACACAGCTTGGCAAGTCAAATGGTATTGTCACTGTGTAGGTCCTACTTATGCATCTGTATTTTTTTAAGATTTCATGGATGTCGTCTCCCAGATATAAACGACACTATCTCACAGCAGACATCCTGGTCCTCTTAATCTTTCTGCCCCTCTTCTTCAGGTTCCTGCTTTTTGATGCAATCTTTAGTTTGTACTTTTGGACTGGGAGAATTGAGACCATATATATCAAAATTACCATTGAAAGTTGTATATCGATTCCTGCCTGTTTGTACTGTTCGTTTCCCCCATCTCCGTCTCTTGTTTAACTATTATTCTAGTGTGGTTTATTCTTTTCTGGGCTTCATGCATGGATTTTTTTTTTCTTCTCTTTAGTCTGAAAGATCCCTTCAAGTATCTTCTACATAGCTGTCTTAGTGCTCATAAATTCCTTTAGTATATTTTTATCATGTAAAGTTTTCATCTTTCTTTCAGTTGTGACGGATAGCTTTGCTGGATATAGTAGTCTGGGTTTGCAGTTGTTATCTTTCAGAACTTAAACTATATCATTCCAGGCCCTCTTGCTTTTAAAGCAGAATAACCTGCTATTGTTCTGATGGACCTGCTTTTGGATGTGACTTGGCATTTCTCTCATACTGCTTTCAATGTACTTTCTATGTTCTGTATTTTTAATGTTTTATATATAATATGAGAGGGGAGTTTCTGTTTTGGTCTGTCTCTTTAATGTCTTAAACCCCTCGTGTATCTGGATTGACATTCCTTTTCCTAACTCTGGGACATTTTTTTTTTTTTTTGCCTTAATTCTTTTGAAAATGTTTTCTATGACTTTAGAGCAGGATTCTTCTCCTATGCCTATAACTTACAGATTTGATCTTTTCAGAATGTAGCGTGTTATCTTGGAATTCCCATTGGCACCTTCTTATTTAATCTTTGTCTTTATTGGACTGTTCCAGTTCCTCCACCTTGTCCTTCTCTTTGATCCACCAAGCTTTAGTTAGGAGACTTATCGTCTGTCATCTGACCTGAAGTTCTTCCTTCATAAGAAATCCTTTTTCTTAGTTTTAGTATGTTATTGATATCCCTTCTTACACTCCACGCTTCTGCCTTGAATCTTATTCTCTTTTCTTTATATTCTTTCCTGTAATGGGTTGCATGTACTTTTATTTACATAATGTAGTTTAAAATAGCTTTTTTATTTAAATGATTTCCACCATTCATTTGTTTATTCAACTTTGATTGGCTGAATATTGGCTTTGCTTGGCATTGGCTTAGGTCTTGGGGAATGTAACTGCCATCTTCAGCCTCCCTAGGTAAATAGAGCACTTCCCACAGTGCTTTGGGACGTGTTGCTCAATAGAGAATTGGACAGTGAGATGATGGAGGTGCAGGAGCTTGATGGAGGAGAGGACAACTCTGTCTAGCAGATCTTGTTCCAGTTTCTTTAATGGATGATATTTGAGTTGCAGGTTGACAGTTTTCCAGATGAACTTTCAGGAGAGAAGAAAAATTTTCAGGCAAAGGACTGTGTTTAAAGATGTAGAAGCATTTGTTCTTTTAAGTATAAGCTGTTCATGGTAGGGACCGTGTGTCTCTGTGTTTATAGTAATAGTGTCTTGTCAGAATATAGTCTTGTCAACTCAGATAGGATTACATTCTAGGTCCTTTACTTTCTGGCTCTGAGCTTTGGAGTGTGTGTGGAAGCAGTCACATGTAAGTGGGGTATGTTTGTTGGTGAAAATTAATGACTTAGAATCACCTAGCACAGTCCTTGGAAAGTCATGAATGCTTCTAAAATGTGAGTTTCATGTGTTCCTTTACTTCTCCTGTAGCTAGCCACCTGATACCTGGCATACAGTAGGCAGGGAATAAATATTTGTTAAATAGTTTCAGTATTTGACAGCATTAGAAAAACATCTGGTTCATTTTATTTGATGTAATATTTTGTGACTAGAAGGAAAGAGCATATGGTAAATTCACTAAATTTTGTGATCTTTTGAAGCAGAGTTTTTTTTTTTTTTTTTTTTTTTTTTTTTTTTTTTTTAAGAACTAAGTGTCATTGATGAGAAAACAGCGGAAGTCCAGTCAGGTTTTCTCGGTGTTTGTATATGGAAGCTAGCTAGATATAATTTTCCCCTTTGAATATAAAATATAAATTGTTCTGTTTTCTTTCTTCTCTTTCCTTTTCCTGTTCCTTTTCCTTCCCTTCCCCTTCCTCCATTCCTCCCTTCCTTTCTTCCTTCCTCCCCCTTCCTTCTTTCCTTCTCCAAACTTGCTGTGTAGCCAAGGATAACCTTGTCTCTGCCTGGAGTTCTGGGATTACAGGTATGTACTTTCATGCCTGGCTTTATTATGTAGTTGTAAGGATTAAACCTAGGGTTTATTATAAAGATACAATAAAGCAGATACAAAAGAGCCAGATGATAGAGTGGTCCGGAGAAGAACAGAAAGTTCTATTGTTGGTTAGGCGTGAATGGACCCATGTGGGCTACTTTCAAAGCCTTTGTCCCCTAAGATTCATCTCACTTTTACTTGACACCTTTGGAGGCAATATTGAGTGAGGGCTTTTAACTCAAGGTACACAGAAGCCCGTATATTATGTCACTAGGTTTTTGGAAAAGGAAAAAAAAAAAAAAAAGCAGTTAACTAGTGTAAGCCAGGAATTGCAAGCTCAAGTATGTCTCCTGAATTAGTTGATAGCAGGGGAATTTTAGAAAGGGAAAGGGCAGAACTCTTTGTTGTTTGGTGCTGAAAAGGTAGAGTATTAGGGGTATGTGCACACTTGTGCAAATATTGATAGTCACCAGAGTGTTCCTTACAAGTCCCTACCCCTTTTGGTTGGAGGAGTTATATTTTTCTTGGGGGATTTTGAGTATGTGATGTCAAAATGCTATTGACTAGATAAGCTAATTTCTGTACCTGTCCATTCTAGAGAAGTCAATTTCAAGCTCTTCTTGAATGGATTATTTAATTTTTCCCCTAGGAAACAGTTTATTACCTAAGTAGTTTATGGCAGTGTGTGCCACGTCCTTAACTGATTTCTAGAGAGTGAACTTGATAAAGAGTAATTTCCCTTTTGTCTTACTCTCCTTTCTTCCTGTCCAGCCTCTGACTGCTTGCCATTTGATGGGGAGGAGATTATTCAGGGCCGGTTCTCTAAGATGGAGGGACTGTTGTCCTCACAGATTCATCATGGGGTACTCAGGGAACAAAGGGCTTTTACAGGGAGGGAGGGGAGGAATAGGACAGTGGGCAGGAACGCCATGTGCTGGGTGGAGTCTTCTTCATGGACCTGGCTTCTTACTCATGGTACCTGTAGTTCTTATAGACATAGTACTCTCTGGCAAGCCAAACCTCTTAGCATGATCTGGAGAGATGGCTCAGCACTTAAAAGCCCTGGCAGCTCTTGCAGACGTCCAGGCTCAGTTCCCAGCACCCACATGGTAGTTAACAACTGTCTGGACTCCAGTTCCTGGGGATCTGACACCCTCTTCTGGCCTCTGTGGGCACTGCATGCATGTACACATAAAATAACAACTCAAACCTCAGCAGGTTCACGTTTTGTGTTAGTTGTTGCATGAGCCTAAAAGTAGGGAGATATGTTAACACATTCTGGTGTTATCTCAGATGCTCTAGCTTCTGCAGAGTGAAAGAAAGACCAGTGACCTAGCTAACGTGTTAATAATTTAGGTGCATCTTCTCTTTAGAATTCAGAATGCTGGGCAAAGAGAGGGAGCATAGTCTTACAAAGAGCAACTCAGGTTGGAGTGGCCATTGTTAAACTTTTTTCCATTTTGTCCAGAAGCTTTTCCTAGATAGCCGTTGTTGTTGAGATTCCATCAACACATAAAGCAAATCTCTTTCTTCTACTTCCTTGTTCTTTAGGCCGCCATCTTTTAATTTCTCATGCTGAAATACAGACTGTGTCCATGTGCCTGTCTACTTGTGTGGGGAGAATTATTTAAGGCTTAGGAGAAATCTGGAGCAGTGGAGTGTGAAAACATAGTTTTGTGCGACATAGAAAGCTAGAATTTTGGTGGTCCTGTTTCTTCATTTTGTTTATGGTTCTATTAGTGTGTTTACTTTGTAAGAGTTCATCATATTGGACATTTATGGTTTGTGTACTTTTCTATATGTAAATAAAGCTGAGTTACACTGACTAAAGGTATTTAAAACAGGAGGAAAAATTAATGACATTCCTCTGTTACTACTTTTAATTAGTACATAAATATAATTGCATTTTTAATAATTTATTTTTATTTTATATATATTGGTATTTTGCTTGTATGTATGAGGGTATCAAATCCCCTGAAACTTGAGTTATAGACAGTTGTGAGCTGCCATGTAGGTGCTGGGAATTCAACCCAGGTCCTCTGAAAGAGCAGCCAGCACTCTTAACCACTGAGCCATCTCTCCAGCGCCTATAGTTGGTTTTAATTGCAATTATGAAGATGAGCACAGCAGATTTGGCTACAAAATTTTGATATTCCTTTCCATTAGCAAACTTACAGTCTATCCTTGCTCTTTTTATCAACTTGTTCCTTACATTTCCTATTTCGTGCCCTGAGTGCTTTCACTGTGTAATTCAGACACTACTAAACTTGGAGATATGGTGATTTGCCTTACTAATTTCTTTTAAAGGGGATGAATTAGGACAGCAAACCCAAGTCCTGAGCCACAAAGCTGGTACCCAAGTTCTTTAGGTCTTAGTTCTGTATCTGCTTCCTTGTAACATAATTGCTAGAATCTAGAGGATGACATGCATGTTGCTGGTGGAACACCATGTAGGACCATGATGAATAGCTAACCCTCTCTTGTTGTGATTAGAACCAATAAGCCAAATTTGAAGAGTATGGAAGGTGTGGGGTAAAATTCACATAGCCACAATTGTCCACTGTGCCTGACTTTATGTTCTCTAGTGGGATATCCTTGTCATAGGTTATTTGTTTGAGTACCAGCTTCTAGAATGGTTTTCTATGTTGCAAGTTTTCCAAGGTTCAGGTTGTTGTACTCTTTGAGTCAGTATGGACTTATGTTGTACCCCTTCTTCAGAGTGTTGAAACAAGAGCTGGGATCTGTCTGCACATGGGCTAATGGGTTAAATCAGACACTGATGACCAAGCATGTATGGGATAAGCACTCTATTCACTGAAATACTATTTCAGTGGTTAAGAACATTTGGAAAGTTAAATGCATCTGTTAGGGCATGTGAACATATTTGATCCATAAAGTGTGCGTCTGTGTGTGTGTGTGTGCGCGCCACAGCCCACATGTGGAAGTCAGAGGAAAGTTTGTGGGAATTGGTTCTCTTTCTATTATGTGGGTCCCAGGTCATCAGGCTTGGCGGGAAGAGCATTTACCCACTGAACTATCTAGCTGGCTGTGATAATGGATGTTTTTATTTATGCCTATTTAAAAAGGTAATTTTATAATTTAATGACTTATTCTTGTATCTTTGATGCTGAGTTCATAGTTTTGTATTTTTCAAAGCTAGAAATATTATAACAGTGCTTTTAGGGTAAAACATCTGTCAGTATTTCCATTATAAAGTGTAATTTTAAAGAGTTTAAAAATCAGCTGTAAAAATTTGTTCTTGGCTGGTACTTAGTATACAAAAGTCTCTGCCCAGGGTAGTTTCCAGAACTTTGCAGCAGCATAAGCTAAGGTTACATGGTAGAATCAGCCTACACTGAGCTCAATTTTTGTTTCTGTCAGCATAGGGGAAGGTGACAGATTTTAAAAATGATAAAACAATATTAACTTTTTTTCTTGAGTTGTGTTCTTAGAAAATTGTTGGTTTAAAAAATGTTACTACATCATCTTAAGGGTAACCATTGCTTAAATATCAAAAATTGAAGCTGGGTGTGGTGGCACATATTTTTAACCCCAGGACTCTGGAGGCAGAGGCAGGAAGATCTCTGTGAGTTCAAGGCCAGCTTGGTCTACATAGTAAGACCGTGGTCTCAAACAAACCAACCCAACCCAACCCAACTCAACTCAACCCAAATTATACCCCCAGACTGACCTGCAACCCTAATTGGAGGAGCTTGCAGAACTCCATTGGGATTAGGCTCCAGCAGCTCCTCTTAAGGTCAGCGCTCAGGGCTGCACAGTGACTTGTGGCCCCAAACTCTTTTTTTGTTCCCTGCCCTGGTTTGTTGAAAAGTAGTTTTCCATTTGGTATATGGCTTAGCTGTTTGCAAAGGAAGTCAGAAAATGCTGAGGAGAGGGCTTCGTCATTCATGGCTGGAGACGTAGCCAGTGAAGCTGGAGAGCGTCTAGTTGGGGTAATTTTCTTGCTAGTCTCTAGGCAGGGCTTAGCTGATGCCGTGAACCATAGTGCAGATAAACCTTTTGCTTTTGTGTTGTTGCAAGCATGCATGCACATACAGTTCTGGTGCATTTATAGCTCATGGCCAGGTTCTCCTTCAGGTCTTTTCTAGACTTTCCTCATAGTTAAGTCCTATAAGTAGATTCCCTCCAGAATAATTTCATATGAGCTAGCTTGACTAGCCTTCTAGTTGACAGTAGCTACCTCTTGTGTTACTGAATCATGGAAGTACATGCATGTAAAGCCTTTAGGGAACATTTGAAATCTCATCAGTTTAAAATGAAACATGACTTTCTGTGAAATATGAGTTGGAAATAGTACTGGGTTTTATGCATTCATTTAGAAATATAGTATCCATGGTGAAAAAAGAAATACCTTATTAAAGATGTGCTTCCCCCCTCCACAGCCACCCTGATTTAAAGCCCCCCTCATACTACAAAATAATGATGCTATACTACTCTTAGGACCAAAGGAAGCAAAAATAACAGCAAACCCTTCCTTTATAAACCCAAACAACTCCACTAAACAAATGTATTTTGAGAATCAGGTTAGAGTTCTTAGGAACTAACTTTAGGTTCTTTGTGTCATTTTGACAAATGGTAGGGGCACCATGCTTTAGTGGACAAAAGCCCCCCTTGGCTTCAGAGTCTGTTATGTGTTGTTCTCTCTGGAATCATCTTTGCTGAGATGCTACCACTTTTGCCTGGCTGGTTTTAGGTGGCTTATTCCAAAAGAGATGACTGCTCGTGTTGTCAGAACTCATGAGACACTAAGGGCTAGAATCTTGTGTGGAAGTGACAGTGGGCATTAAGTAAATGTTTGATTCACAGGTCCTAAGAAGCATGTATGATTCTGTGCAGAGATGCTCTTTGGGAAAGAGCAGATCATGTTTTTTCTCAGAGGCATAATTGGTTGATTTCATTACTTGCTGAGAGGTAATTTTTTACCATTATTTATTTAGTTTAAATTACAATAGATCTGTTACATAGTGCTT